GGCTTAGAGACCTAAGAATGAGGAAGGAAAGAAAAAAGTTGGGCTGTGAATGACTGTCAGGGGGGGGGGGGGGGGTTGTATGTTTAAAATTGTATTTGTATCTGTATGTTTTACTCTTAAAAAAATGTATAACTAATGAATGCCGATACAAAAGGCTGTATATTTACTTTATATTGTTATGCATGTGTTGTCTTTTCTTATGCTGTTGTGTTTTTCTTTCTGTTTTTAAAGGTAATAATGTTTAATAAAAACTATTTTTTTTAAAAAAAAATTTTAAAAAGAAAATCTATAGAGCACATCAGTGGTGGGATTCAAATAATTTAACAACCAGTTCTCTGCCCTAATGACCAACTGGGTGGGTGTGGCCAACTCAAGGTCACTCAGGTCGATGGGCACTTCGTCTTAGCTATTAGAATGTAACAAGGGTTAACCGGACAGGCAGCTTCTGTAAGCAGGGCAATAAAGATTAGGCTAGAAACAACACCAGAATGTTTCCTTCATGCCTTCCTTACAGGATTAGCTTTGTAAAGTGGAAAAAAACAAAAAAGAGATTTCTTCCGACAACCGGTTCTCTGAACTGCTTAGAAAGTTAACAACCAGTTCTCCCGAATAGGTGCGAACTGGCTGAATCCCACCACTGGAGCACATGGTAAAAGTTGGAGCTTTAATTGAACATCAAGACAGAATCTTGCAAGGTTGAAGTCACCAAATTCCAATTGCCACTTTTGATCCCTTGGGGTGGTGGGCCCTTCCTATGTTTCTTTCTCTGGCTGTTAAGCCAGTGGGGGCTGCTTCAGAAAGAACATAGAATCCTAGGTCTGGAAGGGAGCTAAGAGGTCTTCTAGTCCAACCCCCTGGTCCAGGCAGGAGCCTTTACCATCCCAGTCAAACACGGTTCAGTCTATTTTGCAACCCTCCAGTGATGGATGTCCCAAAGGTGCTCTTTCAGGAGGCAACTGGATTGTTTTTTAGTTTTATAGATTAACAGAGTTGGAAGGGACCCTGTAGGTCATCTAGTCCAACCCCCTGCCCAAGCAGGAGACCCTACACCCGGATGGCGAACCTATGGCACAGGTGGAAGGTGTGTCTTATACTATGAAAAATACGGTATATTGTAGTTTCAAATAACGTGAGAGAGGGGATCAACTGTGAAAACCAATCCTGTAATCCACACAGCTTCAACACTAACTTTGTCTTGGAAAACCGCCCTTGTGTTGGTTGAGTGCCTGAAATGTTATAGCAGGGATGTCAAAGTCAAGGCCCGTGGGCTGGATCCGGCCCACAATGTGGTTAGATCCGGTCCACAGGGCCATCCCGGTCTACCCACATCGCTTCAGCCTGGTCTACTCAATGGGAAGAGGAAACATCAGACCAGCGTGCCTTCGGCCCAGTCTACCCAATGCAAAGAGGAAAAATCCCAGCAGTTTGGGGAGTGGAATCAAGCTGGCCACGTCCACCCAGTCAACCACACCCACCCAGTCAACCACGGCCACCCAGTCAACCACGCCCACCCAGTCAACCACACCCACACAGTCAACCACACCCACACAGTCAACCACACCCACACAGTCAACCACGCTCACACAGTCAACCATGCCCACCTAGTCCCCTGAGGTCAACCACAGCCCTGATGTAGCCCTCAATGAAATTGAGTTTGACACCCCTGTATTATAGGTTGCCCCTACCTGTTTGAATGCAACTGAACCATAATCCATGCAGCTGGTTGTTCTGATATGGGTAGGGCATAAATCTTATACTCACCCAATGGTGCTGGGGTAGACCAGGGCATTTCCTCAGTCTCTGATCTCTCTGAAACTCTGGATTCCTTTTCCAAGCAATAGCCGTCAGATTGTATAGGACAATTGGCATTGCTGCATTTCCAGAGACCATAATATTGGGGATTGTCTTTCACGAAGTATACATTTTTTAGTTTCTTTACATGAATGTCATCATTAACTTTTTTCCCATTTAGAGTCCAGGTGATGCTAGAGCTTTTGCGACCTCGGACACAAGAATTGCAGGTCAACTTTATTTCCTGTTCACTTCCATGAGAATTCTTGGTAACCTCCATTCCACGTCGATTATCTGTCAGAAATACCGACATGTTATTCCTTCAAAGTTTTGCAAATACAGAGGTAAAGATAAACGTCTATGGAGATTCCTAATCATCCAAACCAGGTCGTGGTTTGTCTCAAAGGTGCTTTTTCCAAAAAGCAACTGGACTTTCTGGGTTTTTTTTTTCCTTTGAAAACATCTCGCTTCTTATCCAAGAAGCTTCTTCAGTTCTAACTGAAAAAAGTTAGAACTGAAGAAGCTTCTTGGATGGAAAGTGAAATGTTTTTTTTAAAAAAAATCAAGGGAGTCCAGTTGTTCTGACTTAGGCTTCCCAAGAGCATGAAGCAAATTCCTTGTCCCGACAAAAAAAACCCTTTTATTAATTTACTGTGAATTCTGCTCATTCACATACAGTAAAGTCTTTCCAGGGAGGATTTACAGTCACAGACCTTATCTGTCATAGACAGCTGACAGCCGATATCTGCAAAACCTGACAAGGAGTCTTGGAGAGTCACGAACCAATTAAGCGAACTAATTGTCTCCTGAAAACTCCACTCCCCTCTCACTCCTCTTTTATTTCCTCTGGGAGGGACCATGCATCGTACACCTGTGGCCTTACTCCCAAGTCAACCCCTGTTCTTTAGTTGTTCCCTTTGTCTGGCAACTCTGTGCATGCACACATTGGGAACAGGCTCCAGCTGTTCGTCTGCCTCACTGATGTCTGACTCTGCAGGCAGCCAATAACTGGCATACGGCTCTGGCTCCCTCTCTGCCTCCGACACAGAGCCCTCATCAGAGCCTTCCCCAGACTTCAGGACTGGCCCATGTTCTTCTCCAACCTCTCACTGTCCGAGGTGGCGCAGTGGTTAGGGTGCAGTACTGCAGGCCAC